CCCCAAAACCCCAAAACCCCAAAACCCCAAAACCCCTTTAGTTATAAACTAGATTGAATGACGTAGAAATTCACTCTTTAATTATTTTGTTTGAAGAAAAATCAAGTAACTCTAATATAAATTACTTAAGGAGATGCTCAACAAAGTTTCTCTCAGAAACGAGCTCGTCAGTGGTAACCTTAATATTCTTTTGACTGAATTCATCACTGATATCAAGTCCTTCAACAATTTTGTATTCTCCATTGCTAGTTGTGCATGGGAAGGAGAAAATAAGACCTTCTTCGATTCCGTATGGGTTTCCTAAACAAAAGATTATATTTAACTCTTACCGGTAGATGGAATAGACATTGAGACCCATTCATCAGTTCCCTTAGCCCAATCTCTCATGTGGTCAATAGCAGCAGATGCGGCAGAAGCAGCAGAGGATAGTTTTCTAGCTTCGATGATTGCGGCTCCTCTCTTCTGGACAACTGGGATGAAAGTGTCTTCTTCCCATTTTCTATCAACGAGATCTCTTGCTACTTTTCCATCGACGGTGGTGCTCTTGATATCTGGGAACATTGTTGGAGAGTGGTTTCCCCAAACAATCATTTTCTGAACATCGGTGACTTTAGCGCTAGTCTTCAAAGCAATCTGAGCCAAAGCTCTGTTATGATCAAGTCTAGTCATGGCTGTGAAGTTCTTCTTGTCAATATCTGGGGCATAGTGGGAGCAGATCAAGCAATTAGTGTTGGCTGGGTTTCCAACAACAATAGTCTTGCAGTCTCTGCTAGCATTGTCGTTCATAGCTTGTCCAACACCAACAAAGATCTTTCCGTTATCCTTGAGCAAATCACCTCTCTCCATTCCTGGTCCTCTTGGCTTGGAACCTACGAGGAAAGCGTAATCGGTGTCTTTGAAACCAACTGACATATCATCAGTGTAGACAACTTCATCAAGAAGAGGGAAAGCACAATCGTGCAACTCCATCTGAACTCCCTTCAAACTATCTTGCATGAATGGAAGATCAAGGATTTGCAGTTTGATTCTTTGATCTGGTCCCAAGAAAGCTCCTGAAGCAATTCTGAACAAGAGTGAATAGGAAATCTGTCCTGCTCCTCCAGTGACAGTGACCTTCTTCACGTCTGATGAGAAGGCTCTAGTCATGAACTTCCTAGATCCGCGTACGCTAAGGTTGCTAATCATATTGGATATGGATATTAAAATAATTGTATAAATAAATAAATAAATAAATACAGCTCTACTTTTTCGATGAAATGAGGGGTTTTGGGGTTTTGGGGTTTTGGGGTTTTGGGG